CAAATACAACGGGTGAATGTCCCGTTTTCGCTGATTTTACCCATATACATATATATTTAGAATAATTGTTTTGTACAAACACACTTTCAAGATAGAAGATGAACAAGTTAAACATACACACATATCCAATACGAACAGTAAGAACAAAAAAATAAATAAATAAAGAACGAAAAAGAGAGAAAGAGAGATGAAAGAAAGAACAAAAAGAAGATCTATTATGTTTTTGTTCAACCTGTACACAGTACTTATTCACAATAATAATAATAATAATAATAAATAAAAGCAGATAGACACGTGCATATAGAAAGAATATCATCGGTTGATAGAGATTTTGTGACAGGAGACAATCAAAACATACACATATCTGACATCTCTCTTGTTATTATAATTTTTTTCATCAATGAATCGTAACAATAATAATACAAGAAAAATAAAGAGTAGCAAAAAAAAAAAATTTTTGACTGTAAGTTTTAATCTGACATATGTTAATCATTTAAATAGAAAAGAACACCGGAGAAGAAAAAAAAAGAAATAATTTTTGCTTATTATTATTTTTTTCTTTTATTTAATCTTCAGTTCCACTACTGTCAAATTTAAATTGAAGTGGGGATTTTCGACTAACAATAGGAAATAACAGAATAAAAAGAAAACATGAAAGAGAATAAGAACTTACAAATAAAAATGATCACCATTCATTTCTTCATCTGAATCAGTAGGAAAAAGACGAATTCGAAGTGGATCACCAACAACAGGTGGTGTTCTACAAAACAAAAAAAAAAAGAAGAAGTTTTTCATAAAATAACAATAAATAAAAGATATCAAACATATTCTCACGGATAAACAATAAAAAACATTTATTTTGAACTTATCATTTTTTCGATTTTACAGATATAAGTTTATTTGAATCCATTATATGTTGGAAAGGAAGGAGGCTTTTTATTGAATTTAACTTTAATAAAAGAAATATTTCATTCTTCGCTATACATTTAATTCTATATATTAACAAATAAAGCCAAATAGGAAAATAATTAAAAAAAACTCAAAATTATAAAACAATATGAAACCAATTTATCTTCTTTCTACTATTTAATCTGGCAACATAGTCTGTTGATATATTAAATTTTCAAGTGAACTCAATTTTCATGACATATCTATGGCAAACGGCTATTTTTTGGAAGTTCAATATCTCAACAAAGGAACATTCTTCTTGACTAACATTTTCAAGATAATTTAAGGATTATTAGACCTATCCGTGGAAAAAATTCCACTTTTTTTCAGTAAATACTTAAAAAACGAGCTGAAAATTCTGTAAAACGATCATAACTTAGTCATAGGAACGAATCCTTTTAGACTTTTACTAGTCTTACCAAAACCTTTCTTAGGGTCTAATATGAGTTCAAACGATGAGTTACAATTGAAGAAGTAGTTCCCTTGTCAGTCGAATTGGAGTTAGTATATACTTATTTGAAATTCGATTATATTTTTCTATGAAATATCTTTATACTTACAATCGAGAAGTATCATGAAAAGAATGAGATCGAAGTTCATCTATAAAAGAAAATAAGCTAAATATTTTACAAAAATAAAAATAATTTCATACAAACCATCTGAATGTTCATCATGATAACCACAATAATTCGGTGGTCGTTTCGGTTTTTTTATAGGTGTATGACAACCATGACTAGTAGGAGAATTATTTCCACCAGTTGAGGAAACAGTCTATCATAAACAAGAAACAAAAAAAAATTCTATTTTACATTTAATTCTATTTTAATGTTATACATGTTCAGGTCGACGTTGATTATATGCAAATGGTGATGGCATATGACAAATCTATACAATGAAAACAAACAAACAAATATTTATATATATATATGTATTTCTTTTTTATTTACTTGATCATGAATTGTTGGACTATCAAGAATATCTTTTGCTGATGGTCGTATTTTATAATCACTATGTATCATTCGAAGTAAAAGTTGTTTTAATTCAATATCAGTTAAAACTAAACAAGAAAGGAAGAAAAATGAATTAATTAGATAAATAAATAAATAATTATATACCTGATATAATTTCTGTTGGTAATTTTAATTCACGTATATTTGTCCAAAGATCACCGGTTACAGGCATATCATAATCACTAACTAATTCAAGTGCTGCCATACCTAAACTAAATACATCAGCTGCTGTTGATATTGTACCTGAAAGAATCTCAAATGCAAGATAACGTGCATCACCATCTTGTGCTAAAGTTGATGCCTAAAAATAAACAACTTATGAAGTTTTGTTTTTTTTATTTCAAAAAGAAACAAAAGATATTTTCTTACACTTCGTAAATCATGTACAATACCAAAATCACAAAGTTTAAGAATACCATCATATGTAATTAAGACATTTTCTGGTTTAACCTTTAATACACAAAAGAAATGAATTAATTATTTACTTGATTTTTTTTCTTTTAAACTTACATCCATATGAACATAATATAAAGAATGAAGAAAATCAAGAGCCTTGACAAAAAAAAAACACTTAATACAAAAACAAAAATTTATTCTTTGTTTTTTCTTTTTTTTACTCGACTAATTTGATACAGAAAATGCCAAATCATTGATTGTGTCATTGAGTTTTCTGCTGAATATTCTAATAAACTTTAAAAAAATTAAAAAACCAAACATAATTAGTATTTAAATCAAATATTACTTTTACTTACTTGCTTTCACAAAGTTCTGTTTGAATATATAAACGTTCACGTTCTTCCCATGCATGAATTATTTTAAGAATATTTCTATGCGTTGCAAGTGCTTCATGAAAACGAACTTCTTTTAATTTTTGATCACTATACAAAACAAAAAATAAATTCTAGTAAAACAAACAAAAAATCTATTTTAAGATTACCTCTCCTCTCCTTTCGTGACTCAAACAATAAGAAATCAACTTCAAGTAACGAAAATAGCGAATCGTGTTTTTCTCAAACGAACGTTTTCATGAAGAAAATAAATCCAGAAACACTCCTGTTTCTCTGACATAGTACGTTCAATTGAGCTGAAATCTTTTTTCACATATACTAAACACTGTTTGGGATGGATAGTTTCTTTTTGTTTCAAAAAACATGTGTTTTTTAAGATACCTTCGATATTTCGTCTTTTTTATATTCGAAAGACAAAAATTAAAAAGATACCCATCCTAAATAGTGTCTAGTGTCTGCAAAAACAAATTTTCAGCTCAATCAACCGTAGCATCTCGAAGAAACTGGAGAGTGCATTACGATTCCAGTATATCATAGAAGACAGTATCCAAGAACTTTGAGTCTATAACAATTTTTGCTCTATTCGTCAGGATCCATCCGATCTGAAAATTTCAAATTTTTCTGATATGCCGTTTTCCAGAAACCTTGGAAAGATGGAGAGGAGATACTCTTAAACAAAATTTTTTACCGATCAGATTTGCCACGAAATTTAGTTAATGAACGTTTAATAGCATATAATTGATTATCTTCTTTATGACGAACTTTATAAACCTTAAAATACAAGAAAAAAAAAGATATTAATGAAAATTAAAAGTGTATCATTTTTACTTCAGCAAATGAACCACGACCGAGACATTCAAGATGTTCAAAACATTGATCCCAATAAGTCGATGTATCTGATTTTGTATAAAATGGACTTTCTAATGCTAAAAATATTTTATCATACAGAGAAAAAATATTTTGAATAATACATACCCACACCATAAGAATCTGTACTAACTGAAATAGCATTTGCTGATCTAGCAGTAGCAGCAGCTGGCGTAAAATATCGAAAAACACGACATGAAACAGGTTTTGGTGGTTTATTTAATGTTGTACCACGACGACTTGTCTTATATAAATAAATAAATAAGTAGAACAAAAATAAAACGTTTTATCTACTTTTTTGCTAGAGAATATGTGAAATGAATTATTTGATGTACGTTCCGGTGAAAAAATCAATTCAGTTTCGGTGATCATCCTTGTCTCATGGGACAAGGTCATCAAAACAGAATCTGAAATATTTTAATTAAAATAATAATATTATATAATAATAAATAAATAAATAAATATATATATATATATATATATGTATATTAAATTAATGTGCAAAATGATTCATATTTGAAGAAAATTTTTATTACGTATTTTTATTTACAAGTTTGATTTTGACTTCAACACTATTGAGATGTGATTATAATTGACACACTTGAAATAATGTTTGTTCTAATTGCGAGTTTATTATATGTAAATGGAATTTTTCGAATTCAATATTGCAAATATATTGTTTTCAAGCTTTCAAGAAGTTCATCAATATTGCTCAATGGTAAATTGTTTTAGCTTATATGTTATACCCAGTCCCAAGAGAAATAAAAGTTAATTCTATTAGCGAGTACATATATCTAAATAATATTGCTTGATTTTTAAATAAGCGAAAAAAAGTTTCATTCAAATTATAAAGTTTCACCACACCAAAAACAAGCGTTTTTATGTTTGATACAAATAATACTGAAGAAAATGTTCAAAAAACAAAAAAAAAAGGAAAGAAAGGCATTTGTTAACGTCTAATTTGCTGCTGGTAACTCACGCAAAAAAAGAAATATATTTATATAAATCAAATGTCACAAACAACCAAAAAAACAAAACATAACTGTTTGATTGTTCATTTCAATGAAAATATTTTAATACTGTTTTTTTTATTCTTTTGCTGTATGTGGATGCAAACCATGTATATGACGATCAAGATTAGCTTCAGCTGCTTTTTCAGGTACAACCGTATCACCATGTGAATTCATTCCATCTAAATTACTACCTGTAAGCACAGGTTTTGTTGTTATATGTTCAACAACAGCTTCCTTTTCTGGTGCAAGTGTACCTTCTGTAGCTGCTTTCGTTGGCAATTGTGTATTACCATGTTCATCCATACCTTGTTTATTGGTTGCCATATGTTATCTTATTATTATTATTATTGTTATGTTTTTTCCTCGAATAAACAAACTGTTTTCAAATCTAAAAATGACATATAGACATTTTTGATTTTTTTCTTTTTTGTCATCTCATTATTGTATAAATTCTATTTTTTGATTTTTAATTTTTTCATGTCACACACACATAGCAAAAGAAGAGAAAAAACTGAATGGAGAAAGAACGAAGAGCCAAAAAAAACGAGAAAGAAAAGAGCCGGTATTTGTGCTGATGGTAACATCCGTATAGATGACGACGACAATAAAAAAAAATTTAACAAGTAAGCGCAACATTGTGTGTGCATGCGTGAATGTTAATGTACGAGAGAGAGAGAGAGAAAAAAAAAATAGAGAACAACATCAATAACAACAACAGAAAAAAATGAAGAGAAAAATACAATTAGTCGAAAAAAAAAGAAAAGAAAGAAAGAAAGAAGATGCCCGTAGACAAACAAACAGAAGGAGAAGAGAAAAAAGGAGATTCTTTGTCTGTACACAGGTTCAGATTAGAAAATAGGAGATAAATAATAATGAAAGATGTCTCACAAACAACGTGAGATACATTTTATTTTGAAAAATTTTCTTTTTTTTCTTCTTTCTTTGATTAAGATTACCAATAAGGAGGTGGTTGTACACCGTCTACACTAAGATTTGATGGTGGTAGTTGAAGATCATTAAATTGGGTTGCAAATGTTGGATCATTTGTTGGCATTGTATTCATTGTTGCAAATTGTTGTTGAGAAGAAAACATTGTACTATTACCATTTGATCCTGATAGACCTTGTTGTTGTTGTTGTTGTTGTTGTTGTTGTTGTTGTTGTGCATCAGGACCATTACCTGATGATGCATGATAATGAATTGTACCTGGTTGTAGTTCAGGTGGTGGTCCACCAGGACCTAAACTTTGAATATTTAATTGTTGTATAGACATTGTGGTTGATACATATGTATTATTAATTGATTGTGGTGGTGGTGGTGGTGGTGGACGACCATCATTTGGATGCATTGGATGATGATGTATTTGTGGATGTGGATGCATATGTGGATGCATATGTGGATGATGTGGATGATGGGGATGATGTGGATGATGTGATGGTGGTGGTGGTCCCATACAAAAACTATCGTCCATCATAGGTACAAAACGCATATGCTGTTGTTGATGACCATGTGGTGGACCTAATAATGGATCCATATTATGCATTTTCATATAATGTGGTGGTGGTGCTAAATGATGATGATGTTGTTGCATTGGATCAGGTGATGGTGGTGGTGGTAAACCTTTTGATGAACGTGGTGGACCACCTGGATGTGAAAGCATCATTCCCGATGGGTCGAGTGTATGATGTGGAGACATCATTTTATACATATGTGGATGTGTTGGTGGTGGTGGTAAATTTCCACCATGATGTGGATTATAATGTGGTGGCATTGATTCTGGTGGGCCTAACATTCGATGATGTGGATTCATATTCTAAAGAAAAATTCAAAAAAAAAAGAATATTTTATTTGTTTTAGTTTTTTTTTTCTAATAAATATTCGCACTTGAAATTGCATATGTTGTTGATGTGGTGGTAAAGACATATGAGATGGTGATGGTAAATGATCCATTGATTTCGACATATGTGGCATATTTGGATTAGTTAATGATGGTCCATTACCAATTAAATTCGATGATTTTGAACCAGTATTATTTGATGGATTATATGGTGAATTAGCTGATTGTAAACTATTTGTCATTTGTAACATACTACTTAATGGTGGTGCCATATTTGATGTTGGTGTTTTTGGACCACCATTCATATCTAATGGTTCATCTTTAGTTGATGCATTATTATTTGAAAGCATTAATGGTGATGATAAACTACTATTTGTAGTTAATTTAGCTGGACGTGGTGATGCAGCTGATACATTTTGTGATGTAAGATGTGATGATGGTCCTTGTTGTGAAAGATGTGTAGGTGTTGTTGAACCGACTGGTTGTTGTCCCGATGTTAATGAATTTGTATTTGTATTTGGTGTTGAATTTGAACGTGCTAATGGTGTCATTGGTTCATCTTTACATGATGATGATGATGATGGTAATGGAGGAGGACCATTATTAATTCCATTTGATGATCGATAAGCTCGATTTAAATGTCTAGTAATAATTAATTCTTCACCTTCCATACCTAAAATAAAGAAAGAATCAAAAATATTAATGCAAACAAAAAAAAAAGTAGAAAATGAAAAGCGAATTAATATAAATTAATTTACCGAATTCATTATAATCCATTTGTGTTGGTGATGATGTTAATTGTACTTCACCAACATTACCAGTTAATTTTTTATTTGTTGATGATGGTAATGAATCAGGAATAAATTTTTCTGGTTGACCAACTTTATATAGACGTGGTGTTGTTGACGGTTCCATTTTTGGTGAAAGTAATTTACCATTAGGTCCTAGACCACCTCCTCCTGTTGATGTTGTAGCAATAGGAGGTGTTAATGATGATGGTGATGCTGAAGAATATGGTGGTGGTTGTCCACGTATTTGGTGTACTTTTCCTTCAATATGTTCCATTTGCATTTTATTCCAATCTCGTACAGCTTGTAATTGTTGATGTGGTTGAGGTAATTGTCCATATGGATCACCTGGCACTGGTCCATATTGTCCATGAAAATTTGGTGGCATTGGTCCATTCATATAGCCATGTGGTGGTGGTGGCAGTGGACCATTCATATCAAGCATCATCCCATCGGGTCCTCGCATACCTGGAGGTAACATATGTGGTGGTGGTGGTGGGCCAATTCCCATCATATGATGTGGTGGACCAACACCATGTGGACTGTTCATCATCATCATTTGTTGTTGATGTGGATCAAGTGAACCTGGTGGTAATGGACCACCATTAACTGGTGATGGAATATTACCAGCAGCTGTTGCAGCAGCATTAGCTGCAGCATTTGCTTTAGTTCTACCACCGCGACTTCGTCCACCTGTAATTTTTGTTTTTAAATCTTCTATTTTATTTAATTGATTTTTTCGATGTTTTGCACGTTCAGGTGTTAAATTTTCAATACCATCTGATGGTGGTTGACCATTCATCATAAGTGCACCAGGTGGTAATAGATGACTTGGTGGTGGTAAACCACCAGGACCGGGCGTTAAACGACCAAATGGTGGTTGTTGTTGATGTGGATGAAAATGTGGATGTGGCCAATTCGGTGGTGGACCGCCATTACCATTATGATGTGGTAAATGTGGATTATGAGGTACTGGTCCGCCCATCATCATTTGCATAGTACGAGGTGAATGACATCCGGGTGGTAGTGGTGGACCATGATTCATATGCATTGGACCACCAAGTAATGAATTATGACTATTGTTCATATTATTTGAAAGAGACTAAAAAAACATAAAATAATTCATATTTATTTACAAAATGAAAAAAAAACATTTCACTTACAACTAAATATTGAGCAGTTGAAGGTAATGATTTATGATATTCAATTATATTTGGACATTCATTTTTTAATACAGCTTCAGCTGCTTCATTAGCTAATTGTGTTGTAAATACAAACACTTGATTATTTGTCTGTAAAAATGGACTATCACTGGTAATTGTATATTGATTGCGTGGTGACATTGGCATATAAGATGATGATGGTAGTGGTGGATGTAGAATTTGTTGTTGTTGTTGTTGTTGTTGTAAAGATGGTGGTGGTGGTGTTTGTTGTGTAAGTAATGATGGATTTGGTGTAGTACTACCGGTATTATTATTATTATTATTACTTGGTGGACCGAAATCAAATGATGAACCATTATCATTGCCATTCCGAGACGGAGTTGAAGAGGATTGTGGCGGTATAGGACCATTTGATAAAGCTAAAAAACAAGAATAAGTATTTATATAATGCATAAAAACAAAAAAGATTTCTTACGAGTTCCTGTTCTACTAAGTGATCGTTCTGAATCAATTTGTTCAGTTTTTTGTGGTTTTAAAGATGATGAATCAAAATCAGTTGATGATGGATCAACAAGTTCATCAAGTTTTCGTTTATTTGTTCTATTATTGATTTGCATTGATTGTCTTGAAGAAAATATATCAGAATATGGATTCATTGGTGAATCAGATGATGATATTTGTTGAATTGATTCATTTGAATGTAATAACATTGTTGGTGGTGGTAATGTTCCACTTTCCATCTCATTATTTACTAAAAAACTAATTTATATACATATCAATAAATAGAAATATTGAAAAATAAAATAGAATTAAAAAAATAACACATACTACTATTGTCAGAATGTGATTGCCAATTATTATTAATAGGTAACTGTTGTTGTTGTTGTGCAGTAGTAGATATAACTGATGCAGCCGATTTGGCTTTTCTGATATTGTTTTTCATTCGTATTGGTCCTGTACATTTGTTATTAGTCAATCTGAAATAAACATAAAAGTTTAACACAAAAGATAAGATTATTTTTAGGTTTTTTTTTTGTTTTTTCTCTCGTCTTTGTTGACGCCAAACAAGCAAAAGTGCGTTCACATGCGACACGTTCACTACATCTCGTTCACGTACGTACATCATGGGAGGAGAAGAAGAATGTCAAAAAAGAACAAATAACGGGTTGGCTCTCTCTGTCGCTCTCTCCCTTTCCTACGTTCAATCTGCCGTCCGATCGTACGTGCTCGCTGTCTCTCTTCTTCCATTCATCGTGTTCGTTTGCCAACCACATAGAACAACTGTTCAAACTGAAAAGAGAAAAGAAAAAAAGGAAAAGAAGAGGAAAGAAGAACGCTAGTGTGTATATGTGCATGAGTGCGTTGAACATCATTCATACTTCGAGCATGCTACACGAATAGTAAAGAAGAAGCAGCATCGACGGCCTACATCACGTGAAAGGCGAACAAGAATAACAACAACAATAACAGATGCGTAAAAAACAACATCTCCACTGTGGCCCACTGTGCTCGTTCCCGTGCGCGCGTGCTGAGATG